AGCTCACCACTAACCCAGTATTAGCCCAAACTCTTTAAGATCTAGTTATAGTAGATACAGATGCCAGTGATTTGTAGTGTTATCACAAGTGCAACATGGTAAGGCACATGTAAGTGCCTGTTTTAGCAAGGCAATTCATACTGGAGAAGAAAGTTAGTGCACAACTCGGAAAACCTACCAAGTGTCATTTGAGCCTTGAAACGTTTCCATACTACCTATAGGAAACAAAAGTTTACACTCTGGACAGAACATGCAGTATTAAAGTGGCTGATGAATTTCCACAAACCAGTAGAGGAAATAGTAAAATGGCTCCAGAAACTTCAGGAGTACAACTTTAATTTACATGCATCATTCCTGATGAAACCATGAAAATACTGGTGTATTATCTTGAAGACTTCGTTTTACCAAAAAATATAAACGCTGTGAAGAAGGGGAAAGCAAAGATAATCAATGTAACCAACCTAAAGTGCAACAGAGCAGAATTCAAGTTGAAACATTGACAGATGAAAAATAACTAATAAGGTTTAAAATCAATTGAAAGATTTTCAGGCAAAAGTTACAAACCCTAAGTCAATTATTCAGTGGACCAGAAATAGAGCAGAGCAACCAACACGTCAGACAGTAGCTCCGTATAGCTTAAAGACAAAGATATACTGGGTACATGACAGTCTGTTATGTCCAAAATCGAAAGGACAATAGAAATTTCAACTAAGTTGATTCTTCCAGTCTCTACATTCCAAGGCACTCTGTTATTTCCACAACCTTCCAACAGCTGGACACTTAGGTGTTAAGAAAAAAAAGTCAGAGGACATTTCTACCGGGTTGGGTGACAGAAATCTTCATAGAATTGGTGTAAATTGTCACCGTTCTGTGCAAGTTATGTTACAATAGAAAAGCAACATGGACAACTACAGCAGTATTAATAAAATAACTTCCAAGTGAAAGTTTAAGAGTTTAATAATAATAATACATTAACCTCACTAAACCTGCTACATCCAGCACCAGCAAGGCCTTTTTCCATATCAAGGTTCTCCATTGCAGTTGTGATATAACTTAGTAGTGGTTGAGACACTATTCATATTTAAAATCATAAATAATATTCAACGTTAAACTGGTACACAATTAAAAGCATTTTATTTAGGCCTATCTATGGCCTTCAAAAAGTTGACAACTACATGTTTGGACGTTACAATGTCATCCTCATCGAAATATGTAGTTGTCAACTTTTTGAAGGCCATAGATAGGCCTAAATAAAATGTTTTTAATTGTTTACCAGTTTAACGTTGAATATTATTTATGATTTTAACTTTATACACAAGT